AAGCACACGCAAACGCAAACGCATACGCACACGCACACGCACACGCACACGCATTCGCACACGCACACGCACACGCACACGCACACACACACACAGACACACACACACACACACACACACACACGCACACGCACACGCACACGCACACGCATACACATACACATACACATACACACTCACACACACAGGCACACAGGCACACACACAGACACACACACACACGCACACGCACACGCACTAACGCACACACACACGCACACTTACACACACACACACACACACACACACACACACACACACACACACACACACACACACACACACACACACACACACACACACACACACACACACGCACCTACACACACACACACACCTGGCAATGTGGAAAAACAACATGCAGCTGGCCTCGCGGCTGGTCAGGGCGTGGGCTTCGCTTCCTTCTTGGCCCCAGTCCTCCTACCCCCTGGCAGCACCTCGCTGGGCGGGCGCCACGCCGCCCCCTCCCCCTCCGCTGCCCACGAACTCCCTGGAATCTGCGAGGGCCTCGCCGAGCCTGGACGGGTCGGCGCCCCGACCCGGGGCCTTGTCGCCGCCGTCGACGCCAGCCTCGCCCTCAGCGCGGAGCCGCGCCAACGCCCCGCCCGGGTCGGCCAGGCGCGCGAGGATGCCCTGCAGCGAGGGGCGCCCGCTCGGCGGGGGCCCCGGCGGAGGACACGGTGCCGCTCTCGCCGGCGAGGGCGAGGCCCGCTTCCGGCTCGGCGAGGCCGGCTTCTCGCGGGGCGAGGCCGGCGTCTGGCGGGGCGGCGGCGGCGAGGCTGGCCGGGCGAGGCTGCGAGGCCGGCCGGGCGACGGCGGCGCCGAGGCCGGCTTCTGGCTCGGGGCTTTGGGCCGCTTGCCGCCTCGGGCGCCGCCGCGTCGAGGGGGTGCGCCCGGCTGCTGCCGCGAGGCCAGCGCCGCGCGCAGGGCGCCAGACCTCACGGAGCGCGCCAGCAGGCCGCGCAGCCTCGTGCGCAGGGCCTCCGGGCGCTGCCCCGCCTCTGCGGCGTCGACGATCCGGGCGACCTCGCCGCTGCGGATGCCCCTGAGGAGGGACGCTGCGCCCTTTGTCCGCGCCTTGCTCAGGCAAGGCGCCGCGGCGGGTGCCCGGGGCGTGGCCGCAGCCGCGCCCACTTCGGGCTTCGGGAGGCCCGTGCCATCTTCGGACGTCGTGGGCGGCAGGCCCCGCTGCTGTTGCGAGGCCAGCGCCGCGCGCAGGTCGCCGGCCCTCGCGGAGCGTGCCAGCAGGCCGCGCAGCCTCGCGCGCAGGCCCTCGGTGCGGCGCTCCGCCTCTCTTGCAGCGGCATGCCGATCGAGGTCGCCGTCGCCACTGCTCTTCGTCAGCAGGTCCCTGACCTGCGCTTTGACAGCCATCGCCAACAGGCATGGGCTGCTCTGCTCCCGCGCTGCCCCCTCGGCAAGGGCCTCCTCGGCGGCCCCCGCCGCTGCGGGCCTCGTGGGTCGCGCGCCCGCTGTGGGCCTCGCAGGGGCCCTGGCCTGCGCCGACGGGCCCACGCCCTGCTGCTGCTGCTGCACCAGCGCCGCGCGCAGGTGGCCAGCCCTCACGGAGCGCGACAGCAGGCCGCGCAGCCTCGCGCCCAGGGCCCCAGAGCGCTGCTCCACCTCCGCTCTGGAGGAGGGAGGCAGGAGGAGGTAGGGAGGCGGAGGGAGGAGGGAGGAGGGAGGAGGGAGGCGGAGGCGGAGGATGGAGGAGGGAGGAGGGAGGAGGGAGGGAAGGGAGGGAAGGAGTAGGGAGGGAGGCGGAGAGGAGGAGGGAGGGAGGCAGAGAGGAGGAGGGAGGAGGGCGGAGACTGGCGATCCGAGGGGCCTCGCGGCTGCCGGTGCCCTGGCACGGGGCACCCCCTGCCTGCGGCGCGTCCGCGCGGGGCACCTCGGCGGGAGCCCTGGGCGGGGCCGCAGCTGCGCACGTCGCGTGCCCCGGGGGCTCGGCGTCCCCTGCCGGCCCCGCCGGAGCCGCGCCCTGCCGCGTCGTCTGCGGCACGGGAGCCGGCGAGAGGGGCCTGGCGCCACCCGGGGCCGAGGCGTCGTCGGGCAGGCGCGTCGAGGGCGCTCGGCCGCCACGGGGCGCACCTCTGGCAGCCAGGACTGGGCGCCACTTGCCATGGTGGCCCTGCTCGGGCGGGGCGTTCGCCCGGGCTCTCTCCTCGGCCACGCTCTTGGCCCTCTTGGCTTTCGTCTTGGCCTTATTTGCAGAGTGTGGCCCTGCCCTCCGCTTCAATAGCGTTTCCTCAAACATGGCGCTCACCTTCTCTTTGCCGCGTTTGTCTGTGAACGATTTGCTGGAGAGGGCAGTCCTAAACCCTTCGATGCTGTCCCAGTGTTCTTCCTTGCCACGATGAATGAGGCCCGCTACAGCTCCATTCGATGTATTTGCTATATTCCCAAAGCTCAGCGCAAGGCAGAATTCCCAGAAGCACATGCAATGGTCGTCGTACTGTGAACCTGGCAGGACAACTACTGGGATACGTCCAGTGCTGTACATCATATGAAGCATGTCCTGTGTTTCCTCAAGCAGCTTTATTTCATCTTCATCTCCTCGTATTTGGGGGAGCCCTGCACTAGCGATGAACACAGCATCGTAATCGCTGGCTCCCACGTTGCCCAGAGCTTCCAACAACATCTGAAGCTTCTTGCCGTCTGAATCGGTGTGTTCTTTGCCCAGCCGGGAATATGACACTGCGAACCTCTTTTTACACTCGTTGTACGCCTTTGGGCCGCGCGGTAGACCTTCGCTGCCCACTACACACTTGTCTTGGGGCACGTCGTGCCACCGCGGGAGCCGTTCCCCCTGATCCTGGAGCTGCCGCAGGTACCCCACATACACCCACTTTGCCTGGACTCGGTCGAGCTTCACCAGAAACTGCTCGTATAGCTTCTGATTTTCTTCGGCGGTGTACGTATCGATCTGCGTCCAGGAGACGGCCGAGGCCACTTTGCGCACAGCCTCGACTGCAAGAAGCAGCGTTCCTTCAGAGTCGGCGCTCTTGAACAAACCGTCGACACCACAGACCGTGGTGCATGGCACCAACTGACTGTCCCGGCGACCAAACGGCCCGATCCACTGCGCCCCGGTGCCCAGCGCAAAGACGAGCGGACACGTCACGCGGGGCACCGGCGCGGGGTGAGAGGACAGCATCAGCGTCGCCATAGAGCCTGGCGCCACCTGCCACTGCGAGCCGCCGCCAGGGCCCCCGCGGTGCAGTTGCAGGCTGAGCGACAGGCGCCTCGCGCCTGCCATGGTGAACGGGCCAGACGAGAGCGCGGGGGAGGACGCGACCTGCTCCTGGAAGTCCTCCAGGCGCCACTCGTGCCGCGAGGTGACCTCCAGCGCCTGGAAGAGGAGCCGGCCCTGCAACAGGTCGCGCAGGGCTGGCGCCACCGCGACGCCCTGGCCCGCCCCCTGCCGCTGCAGCTCGCCAGAGCTGACGGCCGCCGCCAAGGCCTGCGCGGCCCCCACGGCGCCGCCGCCCCGCAGGGTCACGCACGCGGCCCGCGGGCACACGTGAACCAACACCCCGCTGGCGGGCATCCCGGTCAGCCTCGCCACGAGCTCGCCGAGGGCCCCTGCCAGCTTCAGCGGAAAGGCGCTGGCGCCCCACGGACCGTGGCCCGCCAGCCTCCGCAGCTCGCAGCGCACCACGCTCTCGGCGCCGCAGCCGCCCGCGCCGGCACCCGGCACGGCGCCGGGCAGGCGCGTGCGGTGCAGGTCGGCCTCGGCCTCGGCCGGCGCGGTGCGCGGCAGGCAGCTCCTCGACGGCGGCGAGGCGCACTGCCGCAGGTGCCCGTCGGCGCTGCTGCCGCAGGCGGTGCTCCCAGGGCTGCTGCAGGCGGCGCTGCCCGCGTCGCTGGCGCGGACGGCGCTCGGGCTGCACCGCACCGCGCTCAGCGCCGAGCCGCGGGCCGCCGGCGGCCCGCCAGGCCCCGCGGCGCCCTGGTCGAGGGGCGGCGGCCGGCCGCCGAAGGCGACCGCCTGCGGGCTCAGCGGGCGTGAACTGCGCTTGCCGCCCCGGAACGCCCCAGCGCGGTGGGGGCCCGCGGAGGCCGCGAAGCCGCGCGCGTCGGCCCACGGGCGCATCCCGCGGAGGGGCTCCAGCGGTGCCCCGCGGGCCCGCCGCAGGGCGCTGCGGCAGTAGCGCCCGCCAGGGCAGCAGGCCCCCGGGCGCCGCCAGGGCAGCAGTGCCCGCCCGGCGGCGCGCGGGCGCCGCTGTGGGTCTGAGACAGAGCGGCCACGAGGAAGGGCGGCGGGGGCGCACGTGTCCGCTCGCCGCGGCCCCGGGCTCTTCTCAAAAGGCCCACTGGGGTTCGGGCGTCGAGGGATTCCGTCATGTGGCGCGCGCTCCATCTGCGCCGCTTGCTCCTCCTCCTCCTCCTCCTCCTCCTCCTCCTCCTCCTGCTCCTGCTCCTGCTGCTCCTTCTCCTCCTCCTCCTCCTCCTCCTCCTCCTCCTCCTCCTCCTCCTGCTCCTTCTGCTCCTCCTGCTCCTCCTGCTCCTCCTGCTCCTCCTCCTCCTCCTCCTCCTCCTCCTCCTCCTCCTCCTCCTCCTCCTCCTCCTCCTCCCCCTCCTCCTCCTCCTCCTCCTCTCCTCCTCCTTCTCATCCGCCTCCTCTTCCCAATCCTTCTCCTCACCCTCCGTTCTCCTCCGTCCGCCTCCTTTTCCACCATCTCCTCCTCGTCCTTTGCCTCCTTCTCCTCCTCCTCCTCCTCCGGTTCCTCTTTTTCCTGTTCTCCGCCTCCCTCGTTTCTCGTTCCGCCTTCTCTCTTTTTCTTGATTTGTATCCCTCTTCTTCTTCTCCTCCGCCCTTTTTCCTTAAAAAGGAACCCCTCACTTTCGCACCCCGAGGCGGCCTGGTAGGGCTGGGCGTTTTGCATGAGACCTTCTCACCGCTACTGAACCTGAAGCCTGAAACTTGCAACATATTCACTGATAGAGGGCGGGCGATTTCAAAATGTGGCTCTCGCCACAACGCCGCGAACATTCGTTTTCGAAGTTTGCAAAAGGTTCACGGATGGAGGGGGGGTCGTGTTCAAAAAGTGGTTCTCGCCTTAGCGCCTCTCGCATTCCTCTGGGAAGTTTGCAACATGTTACGTTCGCCTTAGCGCCACGCGCATTTGCCTTCAAAGTTTGCAAAAGGTTCACGGATGGAGGACGGGTCGTTTTCAAAATGTGGCTCTCGCCTGAGCGCTGCGCGAACTCGTCTTAAAAGTGTGCAAGAGTTTCGCGGATGCAAGGCGGTTCATTGCCAACATGTAACTCTCGCCTTGGCACCGCGCACATTTGTTTGTGTCCACCATTCTTGTGGCTGGCGTCCAGGAACAAGTGCTGTGGCACAATTTGAGTTTGCCAGGGCGCGACGGTCTCGCTGATTCGGAGTGTTGACATCCGAGAAACGGTGTTCAGGCACGATTTAGGATCGTCAGGTCGCAACAATAACACTGGTTCGCGTCGTTGAAGTCCCAAGAATGGTGTCGCGGTGTAAACTGTCAAACAGTTGTCTTCCAACGGGGCACGTCCCCGAGTGTAATAAATCGTATGTGAGCCAATCAGAGGGAAACTTGGAGGACGGGCTTATTGTAACATCGTGGATGAGTCTTGGGTTTGCACAGGTCATCCTCCTGCTATTCGGGCTCGTCCTCCTCCTCCTCCTCCTCCTCCTCCTCCTCCTCCTCCTCCTCCTCCTCCTGGTACTGTTCTTCATGTTGATCCTCCTCCGTCTCCTCCTCGTCCGCATTCTGTCCTCGTTATCTTTCTCATCGGCCTTTCCCTCCTCGCCCCCACCCTCCCCCTCCTGTTGCTGCTGGGGTGCACGAGCCGACTCTTGCTAGCGAGAATCTGGTCGAGACTCTCACGGAGCGGCGGCCACACACGCATTCGGTCGTATCTGGCACTACGGCCCCTCACAATAATGGATTGATGCAGAGGGGAGGCATTGTCTTGCCAATTAGGAGCTCAAGGCGGCAATTGCGCTGTCCAGATATGCCTCCATTGCGCATGTGATCGTGGGACAGCCGCACAATCAGAACCCTCGAGCTTGGCCTGGCAAAAGCTGGGCAGCTGCACTGCGACGACGCCTGGTCCAGATACGGCATCGCTTGGGATCCGAATCGGGGCTTCTGACTGCCAACGCGCTTAAATCTCCAGGCGTAAGTTCGCTGGCCCAACGGGCCAAATGCATGCCAACATCTCTGGTAACAGGTGACTTTCAGGAGAGGAAAAAACATACAGACACAATTAATCCTCGATTCCTTAGAAAATATGGGAAAACATGGGAAGTGGGAGAGCCCTGAACATATGGGAAACTATGGGAATACTTTTATTTGTGTGTATTTATTTGTGTGTCCTGGGGCCCCTTCAGACTTGCACATCCAATTCGCGCGCGCGCGTAGCGGCCCCTGGGGCCCCCTCCTCCTCCTCCTCCTCCTCCTCCTCCTCCTCCTCCTCCTCCTCCTCCTCCTCCTCCTCCTCCTCCTCCTCCTCCTCCTCCTCCTCCTCCCCCCCCCCCCCTCCTCCTCCTCCTCCTCCTCCTCCTGACGACAAGTACCCGGGCCAGGACCCGGTCGGGAGGGTCGGGGCCACGGCTGCCGGAACTCCTGGGCGCGGCCTTCCGTGGCCCCGGAGAGCGCTCCTCCGGGAGCGCCCCCCAGGAGGAGCGAAGGGAGTACGGCAGGTTCGCTGGGGTCGCCGCTGGTCGACACGACGCAAACCTACCGTACAGTCGGGGCGTTGACCTAAGGAACCCCAAATAAGGAACGAGGCCCCTTTTTTCCATAAGTTAAGCTTCGATTCCCCGTCGAAGACCTAAGGACAACCTAAGGCAAGCTGCGAAACATTCAAGGAACACCGAGCCCCTCCCCAACGAAAAGGGTTCCTTCTTCAGCGCCCCGACTGTACCACCCACAGCTTCGGGCCGAGAGCGCGCCAAGATGGCCAAATATGACTTCGAGACTGTCCCAGCGGCGCCCACAGCGACCCCAGAGGGCTCCAGGAGACCCCCAAGAAGGCCCCACGAGGCAAAATGTCTGGATGTCCCCTTTGTTTGGAAGGATTTGGACATCACTGCCCTTTTCGGGCTTCCAGCCGCCAAGGTCTGCCCAAGAGGCCCCCAAGACCGCCCCAAGTCAGACCAAGAGGCTCCCAGGATGGCCCTAAAACAGCCCAAGAGGGAACCAAGATGTCCCAAGAGGCCATACAAGAGGGCTCCAGAGGCTTCCAAAACGAAGTGTCATGTCGAACCCTTTCCCGAAAGATGCACCCCCAGACCGCCAGCAGGCCCCCAAGAGGCTTCCAAGAGGCCCCCGAAGGCGCAAAAGACTCCCCCAAGAAGCCCCAGGAGGTCCCAACAATACCGCCAAGAGGCCGCCGAGAGGCCTCCAAGAGACCCCAGCAAGACTTCCAGAGAGGCGTCTTTTCCACGACCCAGATTGGCCCCCACAATGCCCAAAGTAGCCATCAATAGGCCTCCTCCTCCTCCTCATCCTCCTCCTCCTCCTCCTCCGCCTCCCCCTCCTCCACGAGAACACCAGCATATAGCACACCGTGGTGCAATATGGGCCGACCGAATGATACAAGTGATCACATAAGATCAGAAGACATCGTCACGTGCAATTGGGCAGTGGACTACCGCACAGCGTGGTGGTGAGCCCAACAGTTTGCCACCCCTGGCGCCTTCTCTGCTGCAGCACGCACCCCTGAAAATGACTGCGTCTTGCAACCCCCAATCTCGACATTCATCCAGTGATCATCGTGATAACCCCTGTATTCAAGCTGCGTGTGCCATGAGCTAATCGAGCCGTGCTACTCCCCCCACAAGACACGCCACGTAGCCCCAAACATAAAGATTGACATACTAAGTTTGGCAACTGTGTCATCGCTGGACTCTTAGCCCCGCATAACCGATGGTAACTCCTGAGGGCCTCGAGGTGGAAGCCTCCAGACACATCCGGAGGCCTCCAGAGGCACCCGGAGGCAAACGAATACCCTCCCCGAGTCTCACGCCTGGGAGGAGAGGGTGGGCCAGGACTGCTCTTCCCTCCCGCACGCCTCCGCGCGAGGAAGGGGGGGGGATAGGAGGCAGGAGTAAGCGGGGGACTACAACTCCCCCAACCCCCTCTAAGCTTCGAAGGCAGATGCACCTACGTCCCGCAAACATCAGGACGAAGGCAAGGCGCACACAGAATCAAGAAGGGATGACTCGGGACCCCCTGAAGCCTGGCGGGTGTGGAAGACGCGCCGGGCATGCGATCACTTCCCAAGCCTGCCCGGTGCACGGTGCACGCCAGCGGCAGGGCAGAGGTCCCACGGCGAGGCTTCTGGGCGAAGACTCGTCAGCGGCAGTTGCAGTCGTTGCGGCGGTGGCGGCGGCGTTAATCATCGCAGAGTTTGAACAGGGACCGACCGTCCTAGAATTCCTATAGGCCTACCTCGACATGGTCTTAGAATAAGGTCTACGATCAAACATCATGTCTTCGAACATGAAGCCGACCTGTCAACATGAGACGGTCTCAGGTAAAATGTTCTAAGAACATTTCGTGCAAACCACGAGTATTTTGAAGCATAATTGTGGGCCTATAGGCAAGCCTGGACGCCTCGTCACTGCTTGAAGAGTGTCCTCTGCCGGTGAAGCTGCAAGCATCAGAGAAGAGGCCTGGAAAGAGTCCACGAAGCTTTGGAGGACCTGGCGGAGCGTGGCAACACAGAGAAACAGCATAGGAGACTATGATGGTCAGATCTTCATGGAAATGCCGTGCACACCCATTCGGCAATACCGCAAGCCCTCTGGACGTGAGTGGCTCAGGGCGTTTCCAGTTCCGTCTTCCCTCTTCCCCCTCGGGGAGGGGTTTGCCCCTCCCCCTACCACCTCCCCCTGGACCTGGACGGGAGGCTTCGCGATGGCTTGGAGCGTCCAAGATGGCCTCGGCGAAGAAGCCACACTCATCACTAAAGTGTTGGCCACGCGTTTGCTTCCTGCAGGGGTGACCCAAACTTCGTTCGGTCACCGTGCTGCCAGAAGGAGCGCATGATGAGGGACGAAGGGGCTTTTCTGGCCACGCCGGGGCATCCACGACACAAATCTAAGGAACGGCCCGATCGCCCGAGCCCCTTCCTGAGCCCAACGTGGCTCTTC